TGGGGGGTGCGTGGGGGGGGTGTGGAGGTGCCGCCTTTCCAACGCGGGCTGTGAGGCGGGGGAGCAGCGGGGAGGGCTGTGGTGAGGCCCGAGTCGAGCAGCCGCGGTAATAAATAACCGTTTGGGGCGTCTTACTGTGGGACCGAGGGGTTATTTGTCAAAATGCTTCGGAAAGCTGCCCCGTGCAGTTTGCCTTTTTTCGCGTCGGTTTGGGCCTGGCTGCTTTGAACACGGAGAAGGGCGCTGGCAGGCACGCAGCTAATGAAAAAGTATTAAATGGCAGCCTTACGTAACGGTTAAGTTTTCCACGATGTTGCTAGAACCTTTGGCCGCAGAACGGCAGATAGCGACAGCGTGTTTGTACTTGAGCGCTGTGCAGAACGAAGAGCTGGGCAGCACAGCTGCGTGATGAAGGGAATTACCTGTGCCCTACTGGTTTTTCACTTTCTTTTTTAGAGAAGTGCCAAGTAGGCACTCAAAGCCTAAAAGCCCCGCGTTGAGAGCATGTGGTGGAAATACAGGCCAAGGAGTCAGGTAGGAGTTCCATTTATTTGGACAAAACAAGGCTTGGTGGGGCAGCAGTGGTACTGAGAAGAGGAAAATTAGACGTGCTGGCTGGGTGAACGTAGGTGCTGGGATACCGGCCTGAGAAGATGGTGTGAGTTGAAAATGTCAGAAGATGGGAGTTTACTGAAGTCTTCGGTAATTTTAAGAGTAAGAATTACCGTGTTAGATCAGATCACTGATTTTCTCTGTTGTCTAGTCTTTGATATTATCTAGCCTTAGGTGCTTAAAAACTAGCAGTAGGCCACCATTTAATGAAAAATTTAAGGGCTGCTTTAAACAAACTAATTTAAATAAACTAAAAGCAAAAAAATGTAAATTTATCAGCTAGTACCTGGCTTGTATTAGTTTAAATCCTTCGTAACGTTTGTTTTAATTCAGTTTGTTCTCTAAATTCTTGAAAGTTACTAATACTTTCTTAATTGCTCTTTCTCTACAGAAATAAGGCTTAAAACACTTCTGTCGGCATGGTAGTTCTCCTTCATCCTCTTCATCTTTGAAATCAGTGGCTGATAGAAAAACAGCTGTCACATAGGAAGAGCTCGTGGATTAAGGGGTTTGTTTTGGTTTTGCTTTTTCTTCCCCTACACCCCCAAGGTTTCAAAAATAGTGAGTTGGAAAGAGTGTCCTACCTCTGTCAGTCAGGATATTTAATCCTCTTAATAAGCTTTAGGCTTCATGGTTACCTTCTGGTAGTAAGGTCCATCATTGAGCTACATTTTTTTTTTAAATAGATGTTATTTTTTAATGAAGGGGGGGTTGCTGCTTCAGAGGAAGGATGGTCAGCTAGATAGTTGAGATGTTAGCATACAGTATCAAATTGAACTCAAGTTTCTCTGTTGCACCGTGGCCTCTCTTGGTCAAGTCACTTAAAACCACAGAGTGTATCTGTACTGATAAATGAAAAGGGGCCAAGGAATGAGCTCAAGTACTGGGTTGATCTGTGATTATCTACAGTGCCCATCAGCTCTTTTCTTAGCTCTGTTTTGGGCCAGCCTTCTCCCAGACAAGTTCCTCTAAATCTTACTTAGCGCTAAGTAGTACAGATCTGGGCGAGTCTGTACCAGCCGTAGGACCAAAGGTTGGTTTGCAGCTCTCATATTTAGTAATATACACTTTGCCATTCATTCCAGCTTTAAAACAGAGGAAATAAGACTCTGCATTGTGCAGAAATGGATTACAGATAAACATTAAAACATGCAGGGTGTTTAAATACTATATTAAGATCATACACTGAAAATAATAATGACCGAGGATCTTCCTTTCACATGGTCAGATTGCTACTTAAATGTTCTGTTTCAGAGAATATTTCTTCTTGTGTTGTGAGGGAACAATCCAGTTGGCTTATTTACTTTATACTATCCATTATTTTGTATTAATTTTAATCAGTTAATAAGAATGAATTCAATTCAGCTCTTCAGGCTGACTTTTTAGTTATCTTGTGTTAAACTTAAAATCCACTGTGAACTCCTTCCTCCATTTCCAAGTCCTTTGCCACCCAAATGCATAGTTTGGTGGTAACTATACATACACTGCAAACTTGGGATGTTTCAAACAATCAGAGGTGAGTTGCAACACTCCTGCTCTTCTGAACTGCTGAGCCAGCTTTTGTATCTTTGCCATGCGTGGCCACACACTAGTGCTGTATATACACTGATCATGCTGACATCTCCATTTTCTTACAGACCTTTTCTAGTGTTAATAAAGACTGAGCTTTAGCAAGGACAGTGGTGTTGACCGTATGATGAGTGTACAGTGAATAGTAAATTAATTCACTATTAAGTTGAAATGTAGCTAGGATTTTACTTGATGTCTCTTCTTGTTATATACTAACAATCACTAGCAAAAGAATTATTTAAAATCTGTAAAGTATCTTTGCCTTAGCCTCCCCCAGCAAAAACAAATCAAAAAACATGGGGCAAAGTAGACTATGGTACTGCAGTTGTGTTCACACAAACGAATTGTTTACTTAAAGCCTTAAGAAGGGACTTTTTACAGAATTGGATTCACAGGCACTAAAAATGCCAAACCACTAAATTTTGCTCATAAAGAAGTAAACTGTGATGTTAGGTTAAATTCCTCTGTCTTTCTCAGTCTTCTAAACATTTTCTGTGTTTTGGGAACCCGCAGTAATTTTTAAATAGGAGTTCTTTACTGTTGAATTGTTTTTTACCTTTATACCCTTCTTAAAAGGAAAAATTGACTTTTCATGAGTAAATACAAGTGTTGACACAAGATGATGTGGTTTGGGAGTCCCTAGGTTTTTTTGCTAGCAAATAATCCAACTATGCATATCTTAAATAGTTAATGTCTAGATCATAAAATGCATGATGTGGTTAAGTCTAATCTTTCATGTAAGCATCCAGCTGCACTTGCACACTTGTTAAGAGTTCTTTCCAGTTACTTTCATTATAATTGCTTGCTGTTGTGCTGGTCAGAAGCATGGTTATAACTTCTAAACTTGATGTCCTTGGTGGTTATTAAATATACACTTATGCCAGTGTTGTTCTTCAGCTTAAATCAAAGATGCTGAGCCAGTTGGCAGCAAGTGACTGCAATCAGCCAGAAGAATCTCCTCCAGCCCAAGATTAGTTTTTCTGCTACATGGTGGGGAATGGGCGGTGAGCCTGGTGGCTCAAGTCGCTGCTGATCTGCACCACATGGGCTGCTTTCTCAAGCCATCCCTGTCGTATTCCTAGCTACGCCTCTGTCATTGGACTGAAATCACACATCTTGTCTTTTGCATGAAATTGGATTCTGTTGCATCGTAAAAATCCAGACATGTTCCAGATCACATGGCACTTCTGTCATGTGAATGCAGATGCATCAGTCACATAAGTGCTATCTGCATTTTGATCATAAAAGATGTGGGAGTGCAGCATTCCATCTTTGCCTCTTTAAAATCTTTTCATGACCTGCACTTCTTAAGTTTCTCTGTTTTTGTTGGAGTAGAGGAAGGATATTTTCCAGATTTTATATATTTTTTTTTTTTTTTTTTTTTACTTCATTGATAGTTAGACTAAAACAAGAAGAGACATTAAATAAACTCAAATGTGGGTACTATTTCAGGATTTTATTAAAAGTTTGGCTTTCAGTAGTTATTTTCTTCTTTCCTGATTTACTTTCTTCTGAAAAGAAGTATATTTATAGAGACTAATGCAATCTCTTAGCCTTTGATTTATTGGCTTGGTAAGCCAAACTTACCTCTCTCTAGGGAAAAGTAGTTGGTTCACCAGAAAAAAAAATCAGTAACCATCTGCACACCTCTTCCTGTTCTGGTGCAGCTTTCTTGAATGTGGCTCAGTGTCCTGTGAGGTCTCACCAATGCTGTGTACAGTGGCATTAATGCTTCTGTATGTCTAATGGAAGTATTTTTATTTTTGCATTTCAGATTTCACTTACTCCCATGTTTTCTGTAGCTTGCTATCATTGTGATTGACAGACGTCTCTAGATTTTTCTCCTTCCTTCCATCCAGTTTCCAGCAGAGAATCATTGTTTTTTGTGAAAATCCATGCTCCTTCATTTTTATATAGTATCCCTTTTTTGCTGTCCACGATCATTATTCCCTTCTAGTATAAAAACCTGATTTTTCTGAATTGACAATGCCTCTCAACGCTGTCAGCAAAAAATTTCACTGGAATTTTTTACATTCTGTGTTGTAAACACTATCCTAGTCCAAGAATGATTTGTATTTGCTGTGTTTGGCCAAGACTGAAGATCTGCATTCAGTTGAAACAGTGATTTTACACGTTTTAGAGTTCAGATAAACCTATTGGATTCTCTTCTGCTCTTCAGTTGTTGAAATACACATGGCAGTTTGAGGAATAAATTCCAAAATAGACATAGAACCTGCAACCTTTTGTACATATTGGTACTTCCAAGTTTTTGTCATCTGGGGAGCAAGAAAGCGAAAACACCAGTTGTCTTTCTCACCTTATAAACACTGTAAAGGAGATAAGTAATTCCCTGTTTTTTGTTTTGTAAAGCACAGCTTTAACTGTTGAAAGTATTTCTTCCCAGTTCTGTGTGTTGATGCTAGTTTATCAATATTTGTTTAAATGTTGAGTGCTGTTCCTGAATTTTTTAATACCTTAGAGATTTTTTTTAAATACTATCAAAAGTAAAGTTAGATTTTAAAATATTTTTTTACTCCACTATTTGCTACTGATTTTAATACTTTTTAAGATGGAAAGTTTAGTATCAAGCATGTCTATATTCTTCTGATGTTTAACTTCTGAGAAATACATGTCTGTGGTGTAACTAGATGTGACGATTATAAATTCCTTGCTGTCTTGGAATCACGTATTCTAAATCTGAAGGTTAACAGGCAATAACCATAACATATCAGACACTGCACCAAGCAACTAGATAGCTTTCTGCAGTATGGTCATCATTAGAAACCAGTTAGAAGGCGTTTTGTTCTAAGGTAAACTTTGTTTGGCTTCATCTATGAATATCCTTACTAATTTTTGTTCCAGTTTGCAGTAATGGAACAACCGCAGGATCCAGTTATGCAAGAAGATGAAAATATTAAAGCTATTAATGAAGAGTACAGGAGAGCCTTTATTTTTATCAATAAAGGACTGAGTACAGATGAACTGGGTAAGAGGGAAGAGGCAAGACATTATTACAAGCAAGGGCTTGAGCACTTGCTCCAAGGAGTTAGCATTCCATCGCAGGGTCCTGCATGTGTAGGGTCCCAGTGGGAGTCTGCCAGGCAAATGCAACAGAAGATGAGGGAGACCCTCCGAAACGTTCGTGCTCGACTCGGCATTCTAGAACAAAACACCCCACCTGCACAAGCAAGTCCTGCTGTGGTGGATGCCCCTGCTGGGGTGCCCAAGTTGTACCCACCCATTCCTTCCAAAGAAAAGCCAGAAAGACCCCCTGCCCCTAATTCTCTGTTTGTACCAAGTCAGCCACCTGCAGCAGATGGAAGTGTTGCAACTGTGAGCCAGGGGCAGATTCCAGCTATGAGTCCACCATCTGCAACACCTCTTTGTCTGCCAAATGAAGCACCTCCTGCCTATACTCCTCAAGCTACCAATGGCCATTTTACTGTGTCTTATGGCACAGACTCTGGGGAGTTTTCTTCTGTAGGTGAGGACTACTACAGTAAGTGTACTCAGCCACCTCCCCTTGAAAACCTGGGAGTGGATGCAGATGAGCTGATCCTGATTCCCCAAGGAGTACAAATATTCTTTGTGACTCCTGATGGGCAGGTTAGTGCTCCTTCATATCCTGGATATCTACGCATTGTGAAGTTCTTGGATACAGATAGTGAGACGGTGCAGAGTCGTCCACCTGCATTTCTTCAGGTAACAGGAAAATAATTTTCTCCTTTAATTAAATTCCAAGAACTGTCATAAAACTTTAAAAGGCAATCTTCTTAAGTTCTTGCTTTTCTAAGCCTAAATATCTGTATGGTAATATAAAGGATGTTATAGCTGTTGGAAAAAATGGTTTTCTGCAAGTATACACTTTATGACTTTTTCTGCGAAAATCACCTCTGTATCTTCCCAAGGTTTTCGAGTGTTGACTGTTCTGGTGAATTGCATTTTCTAAAGGAGTTGACTTAACATGTCTTTTCATTTCATGAAATTAACTTCCCTTTTCTCGCATAGAGAAGACATGTTGATTCACCTGTTGTAATGTGTCAGTGTAAAACAGGGTTGCATGCTACCTGCTTCCGTCTGGTGATGTTGTGATAACATATTGCAGTTAGGACAACTGATAATTTGGAATCTGAGGGCCCATGTTAATCCAAACCCTGATCTACAAATAAAAAAGATGCATTATTTTAATTTTATCAGTCCGTGCTTGCTTCATGTGGGCGTGTTCTGTAACATACGTTGTGTTTCTGGTCTTGTTTCTGACTTTGGATCTCCTTGTTGCTGCTAAGATTGGCTGTTGGTAGTCTCACCAAAGGGGAAAGTTGGAGGAACAAACAAAAACTGCTTCCTGTTTTTGGGTCTGCTGGTTCACCTCCACCTGTGTTAGCAGTCTTCAGCAGTCAGCCAGCGACAGCCGTACATTCTCTTTATCCTATCATATAAACCTGTTCTGAGACCTACAGGAAGTTACAGGCGCTGTGAATCCTGACTTGTTTTGCAGTGCTTTTCATCTGCTCCTACACCTGCGTCTCAAGACTAGACCTCGGTTAAGAGGCTACCAGCCTGAATTATAGTCCTGTGAAAATTAGTATTTTCTCCATATTAGACTGTCAGAACCAATAAAGAATGATATTTCCACAGTCATATGGGGCTTTTGGTTTGTGGGGTTTTTTTCTTTCTTTTTTTTTTTTCCCCCAAGATGGCGTAGGGCTTTTTTGGTTTTCTTGCTAAACTTTATGGAAAATCAGGTTTGTGGTGCTTATCAGTACATTCTGCCTGCCTTTCTTTTTAAAAGGATCCTTTTATTCCTTTATGTACTTATCTTTTCTAGGTTTGTGACTGGTTATATCCTCTAATGTGTAACCAGTCTCCTGTTCTGTGCTGCAATACTGGAGTCTACATGTTCCCTGACACGATGTCCCAGATGCCAGGGTCCTATGTGGGAGTAGTGCTGTCTTCAGAACTTCCAGCAGCGGACAGAGAGCTGTTTGAGGATCTCTTAAAACAGATGTCTGACCTTCGAATCCAGGTAAATTTCTGGGCTGCCTGTTTTAAGCCAATAAGAAAAGGTGTAAATGATAAATATATTCTCCCATTTACAGTTAGTTGTGTAAAACTGCAAAGTTCTGTGTCTTGCTTGGTAAGCTCACCTGTGAGAAATAGATAAAGTAGCCAAGATTAAGCAACCTAGTAATGAAACTGTAGGCCCTGTGAGATGGGAGGACAGAAATTTTAAAATAATAAACTGTGAGCACGGAGAGGAATTGAAGACCATTTTGTATATTTTCCCTACTTTTCCAAAAGATAACATAGGACCCAAAATGAAATTTTGTGTTCAGGAGAAAGCACATTTTTTCCTCTGTGTGCACACACATGAACACACTGTAGTTTTGATGATACCAGTCCTGGAATATTGTGCCCAAATGTGTTCACAGTTCAAAAATGTTAAACCACTTCAGAGAAGCAGACCTGTGAAAATAGTGTGTACCTCAACAGTCTGCCTTCAAATGGGATCTCAAAATAGTTAAATCTAGTGCCTTATTGCAGTAAGATATTGACAGATAGAGAAAAGAGAAAAAAACCATAGTCTTACAAAGGTGCAGTAAGATACAGTAACTGGAAACAAGGTGAAAAATGTTACTGTAAGAGCACTGGAGCACTATTTCAGGAAGTATGGTAATCAGTAACTACTTAAAAGCTCATAGTGGGATTATATTGTTTCATGAAAGATAGAATCTTGTTGAATCACCAAGATTTGAATGCAGTGATGATGAAGGACCAGTTTGCAGCATGCCATGTGGGCAGAATTCTGTTATGGTATAAATTCTGTTTTGTTCAGCAGGGAATTTCTCTAGCACAGGAGGCCACTAATTTTTACTTAAAAGGGAGAAGTACTACAGAATGATGTGATGTTTCAGTGCAGGACTTATTTGATAAAACTCTGTCATCTTTCCTGCATAGAAGTAGTTAAAATTCGGTATCTCATTAGTTCCTTCTTGTCCTAAAATTCCATGTTTTTGTTAATGTTCCCTGATACGATGTCACAGGTGCCAGGATCCCATGAGAGAGTAGGGTTATCTTCAGAGCTCCCAGCAACTGAGAGAGTGCATTTTGAAGATAAATTTAAACAGATGTCTGGCCACAAAGTCCAGGTAAATTCCAGGACAGTGATTCCAAAATTCTATAGAAAAAAAAAAAGTCACTGAAATATATGTTAGAACTGCTGAGATTCCAGACTCAATTGACAGCAGCAATGTATGCTGTGCCCTGTGTTTTTTTGGTTTTGGTTTTGGTTTTTTTGTTTGTTTGGGTTTTTGTTGTTAAGAGCTGATTCAGCTACTGCAGGCTACCACGTTTTGCAAATCAGCAGATTTCTGAAGTTTTAAAAACAGTGATACAGCACAAATATTTCAAAGCCTAGTCTGATGGCCATTTAATGTGTCTTCTGTTTTATATAGTATTCATGAGGATCTAATTAACATCTATATTTAATGTAATTATAGTATTGAGTCACCTGTCTCAGAGAATCCATTTCTGCTCCTTAGTATAGTCCTTAGAAGTGTTGACTGGTTTTCTACATAGTGACCCAAACTCTGGGATAACTAAATTATATATGGAACATAGTTTAGGTTTTTTTATTGTTTTGTTTGTTTGTTTTTTAGCTATAGCTGTGTATTAAGTTTATTTCTCCTGCCCAGCCACCAGAGTGTTTTGGTCACATGCAAAAGACATTTCTTGAACATGAGATTTCACACTGCTGTCAAGCAGTAATTGGTGATGTAGTACATGTCAGTGATACACTGTTAATCTTCCGGGTAGCAACTGTCTAAGTCTTAATCTAATCTTTTCTGTTAATGTTGGTTTTGTTTTGTTTTACTGCAACAGTCATCTTAGTGCAATACCTGGCTTTTATTTCCAGTAAATATTTCAGGGGAATCTAAGAATTCCATGTAATATCAATTATTCTATATGCTGTATTCTATTCTGTTGATAGGTTTAATCTATGCATGCTTTCATTTAGACTCTTCAAGACTAAATAAAAAGGTTTTTTCTTTCTATCCATTGATAACTAGAAGTGTTTTGAATCATTGAAATGTTTTGGGTTTTTGGTGGTTTTTTTTTTTTAACTTTTACATTGGGAAAGTCCTAAAAATAGGGTCTTGAACAGGAACCTAAATCTATTACAATTTTTTTCATTTCTGTAATTAAAGTTTAATTATACATTGTCTGTAAACTGTGTAACGTGATGTTAACACTTTTTAGAAACACTAACCAGACTGTGGTGGTGGTGGTTGATATGTTTGAATGATCAACATCTACTCATAGATTCCTAGAATGGTTTGGGTTGGAAGGGACCTTAAAGATCACCTAGTTCCAACCCCCCTGCCATGGGCAGGGACACCTTCCACTAGACCAGGTTGCTCAAGGCCCCATCCAACCTGGCCTTGAACACTGCCAGGGATGGGGCATCCACAGCTTCTCTGGGCAACCTGTTCCAGTGCCTCTCCAACCTCAGAGTGAAGAACTTCTTCCTTACATCTAGTCTAAATCTACCCTCTTTCATTTTAAAGCCATTACCCCTTGTCCTGTCACTATATGCCCTTGTAAAAAGTCCCCGTCCAGCTTTCTTGTAGGCCCTGTTTAGGTACTGAAAGGTTGCTGTAAGGTCTCCCCGGAGCCTTCTCCAGGCTGAACAACTCCAGCTCTCTCAGCCTGTCTTCATGGGAGAGGTGCTCCAGAAACTCTAGTGTTTGACATGAAATCACACAGATCCTATCCACCCAGCTTTAAATGGGGAGCAGTAGCATGCACAGCTTGATGTGTTCCTTGGCTGTGCTAGTCTGCAAAAGCATCAACAGCACAAAGAATGAATAATCTCCTTTATTTTTGAATTTGGGAGGAAAGGATGAGGAGCAAAACAACCAGAACAGCTGCATTATTTTCGTGCAGCTGGATTCTCTGACTGAAGACTGAAGATCCCATACTGAAAAACAAGAGAGTTGACTTCCCTCTGAGAAGATAAAAATGATAGATAGACAAGTCTCTTATCTTTTTTGCTAGTTAACTTGTACTGTAAGTTTTCCCTACTTAGCTATTTGACCATATGGCCGTGTTGGCAAGCAAATCTTTTCATTGTAACTGGATGAAGAAAGTGTACAGAAAATGCTGAGCTGTCTGACAAGGTTCTTTGAACGCATAGCATTTCTGTGCAAAAGTAATTGAATCACAAATTTCCCTTGAGTTTCTGCACACTTACCCAAGGAATACACAACATTAGCATTATTTGACAATGGATCTGTATAACCTGAAACACCTAAAACAGAAACCCTGATGATATGTTGTGAAGTAGATTCTCAGATGTTTACTTTCACTTGTTAGCCTTCAGAAGCCTCTAGTGATGCAGTTAACTTGCCGCAGACTGTACATATCCAACCACAACCTGAAGGAGCGGAAAATCAGTTGCCAGAATGGAGTGAGAAAGTTGCCCATGGAATCTTGTCAGGTACTGTTGTAGTAAGAGGATTGTGTTGGATATAAACCTCCGTGAGTAACATTTAAACAGTATTTTCACCTAAATGCATGTGTGCTGGTAGAAGTTGAGTGGTCGGAAGTAGTCGTTCACCAGTTCCAGCTGTGATCTTCTAAAGGATAGTTTGATGAGCTTTATAAAAACAGTGCAGAACTTAAATCCATTGCCAACACCCTTGTTCATTGCAAATGAGTTAGGCTCCTCATTTGACTGTGTGTTAGGGGATCACCCCCTGTGACCCAAACCACTGTGATAGAACAACTTTACTCCTGTATGAGCAGTTATATTAAAACAGGCATCTATTGTGATTTCTGCAGATAAACTTTTTTTTTTCCTCTGAGAACCTTTGGAATATACTAATGACCACCAGCTGATTTCAATAAGTATGAATCTGCTAGGAGGGCTAGAGTGTTGGGTTGTATGTTTTCAGAATGTTAATAGCATTGAGATGTGCAGTTCTATCACTTCTGACCCAGCTGGGGCTTGGATAGCTATTTAAAAACTGAGTACCTGTATTAAGCTGACGTTTGGATGAGGGCTGGCTGTATTAAACTTAAATAAGTGAATTGAAAAAAACGTGGGCGGTGTAGGAGCAGAAATCACTGTAGCAATTCATGCTGACCCATTCAAGGAAGAGTATAATTGCAGACTCTGTAATCAGGAATGTTTCTAAAGTCAGTGTTGCAGAGGCAGAGGAGGGAAAGCTGTAGGAATCATAGCCTGTAGAATTGTACCTTCTAAGAAAAACAATTTTTGCCTTGAAGGTGCATCTTGGGTAAGCTGGGGCCTAATAAAAGGAGCAGAATATACTGGTAAAGCTATCCACAAAGGAGCTTCTAAACTGCGAGAACACATTCAACCAGAAGAAAAACCTCTGGAAGTCAACCCAACTGTAGCAAAGGGACTTCATGTAGCAAAACAGGCTACAGGAGGAGCTGTGAAAGTCAGCCAATTCTTAGGTAAAAATTTCCATCTCATAGTATATTATGTTTTTGCCTTTAATAAATATTCTGTAAAATAAGAGCTGGTTTCTGTAGCCAGTGAACTAGAGGAGGGACTGACCTGGTGAAATCCAGAGATCAGTAGCTTGTGCTTAGTTACTTCCTGTGAGAGACATACTTTAGGATTAATATTTATTATATGACCTTGAGGCATCTTTCTGCTTCCTAAAAGAATAGTCTTTACAGCCTTAAGTTTGGCATGCTTTTCTAAGTTTTAGACAGTTAATTCAAAATTGTGTCTCTCTTTCTTCTGAAGTTGATAACCATGTATTTTAAAAGCTGTACTGTCACTCGTTACTACCATATTGTACCACTAGAGAATGTAACGTGTGTGTGCATGTTTTTAAATATGCACACCTGAAACAAGTCTATTAGACTATGTATAAACTTCCAGATAGAAACAGTGTGGTGTTCAGTGGTGCTTGGTAACCCTAGCAGCTCTCAGTAACTTCATTCTGTTATTTATTTACATTAATGTTTCTATGTAGTGTCTAGTGACTTGTCCAAGCTTAACAACAAATTGTGCTGGATGTTACAAAACTAGTTTGAAGAGCTGGAATGATTGTGAGAGAGACTTCTCCAGAAGACAAGTCAGGGAAGAAACACAGCTTGTTCCCTATCTGCAGGTTGAGGTTAACAAAGCAATGGGAACAGCTTCTTGAAATTAGAATGTGAGACGTAAAGTGCTTTTTAGCTGTAAGACCAACCTTACTTGTTTCTTAGGAATTGAAGCTGTGGAGAATCTGAAAAATAAGGTTGCTTCTGTATCAGTTGGGTACTTAAGTGTGGATTAAAGTCTGTCTTTCAAATAAGCATATTTAAATAGAAGCAACACTTAAGACTTCAGTGAAGCTTTTAATTAGAAGTAAGGACTTTTAAAGAAAGATGTTCTTACTAAATAATCTGCATACTATTGTTTTATGGTAGTTGAGGGAGTGTGTTCTATAGCAAGCTGTGTTGGAAAGGAGCTGGCTCCGCATGTGAAGAAGCATGGCAGCAAATTAGTTCCAGAATCCCTTAAGAAAGATAAAGATGGCAAATCCACTTTTGACGGTGCTCTGGTGGTAGCAGCAAGTGGAGTTCAAGGTAATAAAAATTCCTTATACTTTTTTAATTGCATATTTTTCAATGCTATGAACTCAAATAAGCTGTTCGTTTTCACAGGGTTTTCAACAGTGTGGCAAGGTTTAGAAAGCGCAGCGAAGTGCATTGCTAAAAGTGTTTCAACTGAGACTGTAAAAACTGTCAAATACAAGTAAGTTATGTTTTTATTGGTTTCATCTTCTACAGCATATTGTCATTGTGTTTGAATACTGGCAAAAAAAAAGCCTATGGAAGTGCAGGGAAACTAACTGAAATACCTGCTTTTCTCTAATTATGCAGCACATGGTAAGCTGCTAAGTGCACAGTAATGAGCATCTGTGAGTAAAAACATGAAATGAGTGAATGATTGTGGCAAGTATTTTTTTAGTTCTCTTCTAGAAGTATTACAGCTTCAGGCTATGTTACAAATGATGTTCAGATTTATAATCTTTGCTCTACAGTATAATGTCGTTACGAAAAAAGTTACCAGTTTAAACCTCTCAGCTTGATCCTGAATTTATGTAAATTTAGCTAAATTTAAGAAAAAAGAAAGAACTTCATCTATCAGCAGGTGTGATTAAAGCGAGGAGGTACAAAAAAGAAGATTGTGTAAGGAAATCTAAGGCGTAAATAGCAATAATAGCATAGCCTCGACTTGCAAAATACAGGTGTTCTTAGAAAAAGATAGTGGGGGAAGAGGATAGTAACATTTGGGGTTAAGATGATGTTACTAAGGTGATGGAAAGACCAAAGTTGAATGCATGTACTGGAAGATGCTGTGGAGAATAAGGGAATATATTGAAATAACTGCAAAATGTAGGAAATGCACCCCTCCAAAAAAGTGCAATAGGTGTAATAGAAAGTGAAGGGTAAGCAAAAGCATATAGGTTAAATGGAATGAGTGATAAGTGTAGCAAAAAAGATGTTAAAAAGGATTGTTGAAGGTGCATACAGGCTACTAGCAGAAGGTAACAAGGTAAAGATCAGCATACAGTATGAAGTGGATTGGCATTCAGAGTTGTGTTGTGATGCATTTCAAATAGGAGGTTGGATAGTGAAGTTCTAGTCAGTGGTGCTTCATTGCTAATGTTTGTTTTCCGTAGGAATGTCAGGAGGTATTGTGTGGGTACTCATTTCACATAAATCCACATTAATGTTTTTGTTCTAGATATAAAAATAGGAAATATGGAGATCAGCAGTCAACAGCCACTGACCGTGAAAAACAATAAGTAATTAAATGTTGCAGTTAATTACAATACAATTGAAAATATTTGATACATGATCTTTAAAATCTATCTATATAAATGTGTTAAAATTCTACATAATATCTCTTTTTGGAAGCTGTTTTTTGTTTCGGTGACAAAGATTTCTGCCAGTCAGAATACTTCAGTGAATGAGCTAAATTCCACTTAATGGAAACAAAGTGAAAGGAGCATCATCACAGTGTCTCTAAATTAACAAAAAACTCAGCTAAAATTTAGCTGCAATACCTTTGCTGATGGAATTACAAAGAGATGCTCATCATATGTGCATGTTGATCAGAATTGGGGGAAAACGTAGCTTCAGAAGTAACATTTCTGCCAAATTACCATGCTACTACCTTGGTGGTTTTTTTACAATGATTTTAATAACTGCAATATCTACATCTGCCCAACTTTTTTCTTAAAAAAAAAGTTACAAATGATGCAATTGGGACAGGCAAACTGAAAAATCAGTTATCAAATATTAAGAAATTGTTAGTCTAACTGTATTGGATAAGCTATAGTCTTACTTTTAAATGAGGTTACCTATTTTAGTGATGTTATATAAAACTGGCTTATGATGTTTCTGAGGTGAAAATAACTAACCATATTGACAAATACTGCACTTTTGCTGTGAGATTAATTCTGTGATCTGCAAATCCAATGTTGGTGATTCAAGGCTGTTGCTCTATCAGAGAATTAAAAACAAAACAAAAAAAGCACTAATTCTTTTTATTTGGTTTCGCTGTTGGTTCCAGCCATTATGCCGTGGCTGCTGTACTGATAATGCGATAGATTTTTGGATTCTCTGATATTCTGTGCTTCTCTCTAGCCTTATTTCAAGGTCCTCAAAGAATCTCTGGTTGTAAGAAGCACAGGGAAAAACTAACTTTACTAACTGCTGGGATTCTGATGCTGCCAGAAATACTTCCCTTTGGCCTGGTTTGTCTGATTACAGTGCTCTCTGGAGAAATGGCTGGCTGCCCAGAACAGTTGGAGTTCCTGCTCTCACTATACTCTTGTCCTCCTTCAGTATGCTCCCTCTGCTGGTGTAGATGTGTACCTTTCTTTACAGTTGAGTAATTAATATAAGACTGCTGACTTGCCACCTAAAGCATAAAGAAGCCCGACCCACAGCCCAGTGGAGAGACCAGAGGTTTTATCTCTTGATAATTTCCATCATATCCTCAAGTTAGCTTCGTTGAGCCTTTTGGGGTTTTGTATGACTTCTCTTTTTTCTTCCCCTTGTTCCCCTTTGCCACTGTTTTGATTCCAGGTTACTTCATATAAGTTTTCACTGCACAATGGAATTTTTTTGTAGGGACCTTGCTACCTCCAATATATGATCATAGCTGTGTCAGCAATTCTTTGTACCCAGGAGACCTGTTAGACTGTCTGGGTTAATTTGTTTGAGCACCATGGTGCCCTACCTCAGAGAGTCTACTTTTGGGACTTTGAACTAACACGCCAATGTGTTGCTGTTTACACCAGATGTAGTATCATATTATGCCATGCAGACACAGGCAAAGGTGATACAGGACAAGTCCTAACCAAGCACCATTCTGGCAGTGGTGGTACCAGCTGAGACAAAATATGCCTGAGGTGATTCCAGTCCCTTTTTCTGTAACAGGTGAGAAGGCAGGACAGTGTTTGCCCTCCCTCCTCCTCAGTGCTGCCACCCATGGTACATACTGAGAAGGTTTAGCAGCTGCAAGGGTCCGGCTGTGAGGACTTACATGGGGATATAGAGGGTATCAAGAATTTTACCTAAGAACTTATGTGAAAAAGTACTTAGGGGTTATTGCACACAACTTCCTCCCTCCCTTGGCTCTTCTTATGGTTCAATAGATAAGCCTTCTACTCTTCAAAACTAGAGGAAGGAGGGAGAAAGACTGAAAGTTTTTTTGAGGAAAAAGGGCAGAAGCATATTGGTATCTTTAAAGAGTAACCTGTCTGATAGAGGACCAGCCCTTACGCAAATAGTTTGGTAATTTCTAATTTTATTCTTTAGGCACTCAGGCTGTGTGCTTATTATTTGTTCTTGGTAATGCTTAAATTTCTGCTTTCAGAAGAATTCCAGTGAATATTAAAATACTAACCATACAAATCTACAAAACTGCTATCTTTCTTTAGGTATGGAGATGACGCTGGCCATGCCACAGACAACGCTATGAATTCTGCCATCAATGTTGGTGTGACAGCATTTAACATTGACAATATTGGTATCAAAGCTGTTGTAAAGAGAACTGCAAAGGAAACCGGCCATGCTGTGTTAGATGAATATAAAGTGTTGGATAATGAGAAGAAGGATAAAAAATGAAAGCAATGAAATATTTCTCAAAGCCTTACATTAGAGATGAAACTTCTTATTTAGAAGTAACTGCATTGCTAACCTGCGATTTAACACAAATCACGCTGTACTTTTCAAGCAACTGTTACTTAATTTGACATCAAAATGTAAAAATAGGGAGGGCATTTGTAGAAGGAAAGATGAAAGTTGTCTTGCCTCCTTGTTCTGTATTGAACAAGGGTTTTAAACAACTGGATCAGGACTTCAGACCACTGGAAGGATATGAGTTTTTGGTTAATAAACTTGCCTCTAAGCACTTTCTCAAAATATAATATGGAATAATAGATTAATATAGAAATACTATTGTGAATATTTTTGTAATACTTTATATTTGTAAAGAAGATGGTGATACAGAACAAATAGGATTACTAATTCTGGAACAAGTAGGATTACTAGTTTTGTTTTTTGACTATCATTAAGAGTTAGTTTTATTAAACCAGCCTTGTCTTATTTAATATGCACTACTAAAATAAGCTTTGTGTTTCATTGTTTTGTAGAGAATTTCCCTTTGCAGCTAGCAAACAGCTAATCTTATCCAAAGTTCATGTTAGAAGAAATGAAAGATGAACCTCAGGTGACTAGGTAGTTACTCCCTTTAAAACTTTTTTTTTTCCCCATCCAGCATATAAGCAAACCAAAGATATCAAGCATTTCTTCTAAAAGAGGGTATTTACAATTCTAGAAAAATGTATTCTCCATAAGGAATATACAAAGATTCTTTGAAATTGAGATTTTTATTTAGAGAGGGTATGTTTTTGCATAAAGTATTTTTCTGTAAAAACATTCTGTAGAGGACACTAGGAACTTCTAAGCATTCTGTACTTTTCAGCCAATCCAGAAAGATTCAGTGTATGTAGCATGGCCTCCTAGTGGAAGACAATATGTATTTGCTTTAACAAGTAGTTCTAACAGTCAGCATCTTTATTCTGTTAAATTAATAGTTGCACAAGGTATGTCTTTAAAGGGTATGAAGACAAGCCCTTTTAGTGAAGAGATGTGTGTGGAATAGAATAGACACTACTGTGTAGGTTTTTCATCCTGTTCCTAGTGCAGTGTGAAATAACTCCACACGTAGAACCCTTGAGATGCTTTTACACTGCTACTTATTTAACAGTTCATTATTGAGTTTTAAAGCTGCTGCACATTCTGATATTGGCTGGACCTGCAGCAAACAGAACACCATGTATTTACAACTTACCTCTGTTTAATGTAAATGGAGAAAATGACTATAAATGGTTGTTAGCAAATGATACTTGCATCAGATTGAAAAAATACAGTAACAACTAAAGTCTATTAGAATGGTCATAGGTGCCCGTTTTGTGGTAGCTACTGTAGGTGTGTACTTAGGTTGAGAAATGTGAAACAAAGGATCTAACCACTTGAAGTGTAACTGATTTATGGAAATAAAGATGAAATGAAAATTGGTTACTCTGTGCTTGGCCTTTTTATGATGTGGCACTACTGTACGGATCAGTGAGGGGCAAGACTAGGACTTCTTCTGAAGTAATAAGAGAACAGTATTTGGGTATGTCTATGACAGAAACATAGAAGGTTCCTCTAGTTGGGAACTATTCAGTAGGCTGGTTAAGTTAATCTTGAAGCAGTTCTTCACAAAAACTGGTAACAAGAAAAATGGTTACCGATTAACACCTTTGCTGTTAAGATTCAGTACATTGAGTTAGCTATGAATGCTAACCTAGGTCCAGGTCATTACTTAAATTATTGGTTTGGTATGGAATTTTCAATATGTATCTTAAAAAGGTAGCATTCAGTAAATCCAGAAGGCAAAATGAGCAGCTAAATTTAAATGCAGTTACAGTGCAGCACTCTTCTAAATTTGTTTCTTGATTAAAGTATTTCAGACAATTTTGAATTCAATCCACACCTCAAGTGGTAATTCACTGATTAGATGACAGCATCAGTTATAACTTGAGACTGTCAAAAAGCACCTCCTGCTCTAATATATATTGGACAAGTGAAATGAAAATGACTGATCATAAGAAGCAAACTTCTTGCTCTCCATCCTACTGTTTTACCCCCAGACACTAGACCCTGCAGGATCAGTGACCCTGCTGTTCCAGTATCAGCAAGGTGTTAGATTGCTCATTCTAGTGTTGCACTACCACCTTAGGACTAAAGCAACCTGGTCTAGTGGAAGGTGTCCCTGCCCATGGCAGGGCGGTTGGAACTAGATGATCCTTAAGGTGCCTTCTAACCCAAACCGTTCTGTGATTCTATAGCTCCCCTACTGAGCACTAGGTCCCATGAAATGGCGAGCTGATCTAAGAGCACACTGATCGCTCCCAGTTTCACCCTGTCCCTTGCATCACCTCTGGTGCTTTTCTGAGCAGCTGGTGAGCCGTTTCAGCTCACCAACCAGCAGAAACTGCAAACATTGAACATTTTCCTTGAAGTAAGTTTTCTAGGTTTGAGGAGCTGGACTGGCTCATGGGACACTAATGTCAGAGCTGGCACTGGAGCAGCCGGAGAAGTCAACAGGGAGACCCTGATGGAGGAGATGCCCCTCTTGGCAGCATTAGGCTGTTAGATTAATTCAGTCCACCCCTTAAAAGCTTTACCTTGAGAAAGCCATGAACCAATCTGAAACGCCTTGTTGGAAAACTGCAACATCAAACATTTTTAAGCATGAATCCGGACCATTGTAAGATAACTAAAATACTAGCCAGTATATATTGGCTAATTGACTCCATTGACTTGATCAGTGATGATTAAGACTGATTATTCTAAGCTCTTCTGTCCTGTCTCAAGTTGGATTCTTGCAAACTAGTTTACACACAGCACAGGTCGCAATTATCAAGGGTGCCAAAATACAGGCTAGGCACTCTTTCAAGACGGGGCCCCGCCATGCTCTGCCTCCCTTCACGTGCGGGTCAAAGCATTTCTTTAAAACCGTGCCACTTTCCATCCAAAAGAAGTGTTTAAAAGAAAACCCCCAAACCCTGCACATTTGTGTTTCCCAGGTCATGAAAAGCTTCACACACCAACAGTTCACCCCGCACGGCCAAAACCCTTTCATTGGGCCCAGACCTGTGCAGCGTTATTTCCCATTAATTTCTGGCGCTGCCTGAGCCGCATGCTGGGCATTTCCCCGGACAGAGGGAAGAAAAACGCCACCAAACGACTGGCGTTCGCGCCCGACCCCGTCTCCCCCCTCTCCCTCCGCTTTCCCGGCTGCCGAGACCGCGGTCTCCCGCCCCGAGGGCTGACAGGACCGGGGCGAGGACCACCGCCCGCCCCGCTCCCTCAGGCCTCCGCCGGGCGCTCGGCGGCCATTATCCCGCCCAGCCGCCGGGGACGCCGGGGCTTGCGGGCGGGGCGGGGG